GGGGGGGGGGTCCAAGCGCTTTAAGGAACTGTCACCAAGGCTAAGCAGGATCTGCTCGGGTAGGTTGTTAGAGAGGAAGCGTACCAATGTGGACTGCAGGCTGACTGCCACTTCAATAGCACGATGTTATTGATGCCGGTAGTCCGAACGCAGATAGCCTTTAACGGTGTCGGGTCCGTGGTCAAAAATGTGCGGAGGCCGGAGATCAAAGCGTCTCCCCCTGCCCCTGAGCCAGAGTCCCAGCGCTGATGCGATTTGCCAACACTCGACTGAGGTGTCCTTTCAAGAGCCCGCCGATGCAACCGAATTGCAATCACCCCGACCTTCGCGGAGGCGCCGACGATATTGCTCAACCCGCCGCTGCTCCTGCCACTGTCACGCTACCGGAAGGGTACGCAGGCGGTTCTGGTCTTTCGACTACCACCCCTTCTCCATCGTGCTCCAGGGGTGCGACAGGGTCGACTGCAGCGTGCACATATACCCCTGGTCCTTCAGGGTCGCTCTTACGCAGCTCGCGTTCCCCATTGCGACTATTGTTCAGCTACAGTTCCTGGACAGCGGTGGAAAATCCTTTATCAAACCGGCCCTGGGGGTCGAGTGCGTCGTGCGAAACACGTCGCGCGGCTTTGGGCTCACTGGCGCTGCGAGCATGAGTTGCTCGCGCTTCGCGTCGTCGATGATCCTTAACAGCACGACTCTCCGCTTCTTCGCCTGTCGCAACCATTCAAGCTTGTCAGCCATTAGCAGTGTAGCACGACCCGTCTTGAACCGCAACCCGGCAGCGGCCGACAGCCTGGATGGCATAGTACGGTGGGCAGATCTATCTGCAGACAGCCAATGTCGTGCATGATGCAATTTGTGGGATATCCCTGGGCCAGGGTAGCCCTGCTGAAATTTCCGGACGATTGAACACCATGACGTAAAGGAACGTTTCAGTGATCGATTTCATTCGAGTTCGGCGTCCATGCCCATTCTCTTCAGCCCAGGTCCCGGCCTCTCCCGCTACTTCCGATCAGCCACTAGCTATTTGCAACAGATAAGTGCGTAGGATGTAGTTACCCAGCCGCCAACTGAAAAGAAAGCTCACAGTGCAGACGAGATATTTTTTGTAGAGGAGAATGGCGTTGGCTGCAAACGACCGTGTCGTCACGCGGGCGGCGGCCGCGCGAATTGTGCGGCGATAAGGTTGCTATAACCGTCCAAGAGTGAATTCGCGCGTCGCGCTCGTCATGCGTCGCACACGAAGCACATGATAAAAGCGGGGTAACTAGCAAACGGGCACGACAGCGGCCACCGCACTCCCCACAACCACCGGGCGAGGGCGGGTTCGGCCGGGTTGCAGCATAAACAACTATTCTGAACATTTCCAGACATTCCGCGACAAGGGGTACGGCTACGTCTCGCGTTCGACGGCCCTTCGCCATCACGCGAGCTCCAACAACCCTGCACGGCGCGGGGTTCTCATGCTACCTGCTACCAACCATCGCAGAATCCATAGCTCTGGAAGAACCATGCACTGGCGAGCTTTGGCGTTGAGACGCCGCGAGTTGGGAACCCCTCGGCTCCTATGTTAGCCTTTAGCGACAGCCGCCTGGTTCAGAGGTACCTACATAGTACATAATACACAGCAGAACAGGCATGACCTGACCGAGAATTGCGGACCACCGCGCCCAGTAGCCCGCCAAGGCATTCCCTGAAGCGAGCGAGTTTGCGGGCTGGGATTAACGTTGACACTTTCAGCAGTAAGATTACGTCGCTTTAAAGGCTGACCGCGATGAAGCGTTGGGATTTTGATAAATCTATAGATAACCAGGCCCCCGGGAAGTGGCCAGGGACCAGTGAACAACTCCTTACCTTTATCTGCAGCGAGGGCCGACAAGTGCTGGAGGCTGCGGTCAGAGCTTTTCCGTTGCCGTGTTCCGAACATCAACGAATAGCCCTAAAGAGGCCAGAGCGGGGCAGCGTTCAGGTGCATTCCAGGGACCTTGTGGCGCTGCAAACCCTATAAAGCGGTGGAAGAGTACGTGTTTCCATTACCCACGCTTGAGGAAAGGCGCGTTCGCCCATCGTCCTGTACCAGTTCCCCAACAGGATTTGCCAAATACAAGACTTTCCGCAAACCCACTGTAGCTTGATCGCCGCTAGTGAAAAGTCCTGGGCATGTACCAGTTTGTGGCGTAGTGCGGCTTACAGTTTCCCACCGCTTTGTACAGGTATCACTTCGCAGCTGTGCTCGAAGGCCCAAACAGCTAGGGAGCAACCATACGGTTCGGGGCCACGTATTACTCTTGCAGACTAATGTTTGGATTGTAGGAATAAATACTCTATATTCATCCTAGCTACTCCAGCGAGATATAGCCGACAGGGACGAGATAGTGTGGGGGTGCTCTGGACCAAGGACCTGCTGCCGAGCCTGCGCGCAGTCCTTCATCAGCGCCAAGACATCGGCATGCCTGCCCTGATCCTTCCAAGTGAAAGCGACGTTGTTCATGCTGGTCAGCGTCGAGGGATGCTCCTCCCCCAACATCCTTTTCCTCGTCTCCACCACTTGTACCTCCAGCGATTCAGCTTTTTTCCACCGGCCTTGCTTCCAGTACATCGACGCCAGGTTGGCCATGCTGACCAGCGTGTCGGGATGCTTCTCTCCCAGCACCTTCTTCCCCGTTTCCATCACTTGCACCCCCAGCGATTCAGCCTCCTTCCACCGGCCTTGGTTCCAGTACGTCGACGCTAGGTTGGCCATGCTGGTCAGCGTCGAGGGATGCTCCTCCCCCAGCACCCTTTTAAACATCTCTATCACTTGCACGAAGAGACTGGGCGAAGATGGAATTCATGCGAGACGATATCAACGGCTTCATTGATACTCTTACAAGGCACAAATCGACAATCAGAGTCGGGCTGGGTGCTATTACCATGTCAGTCGTTTGCCTTATCCCCCCAAGACCTCGTACTTCCTTTAAGGCACCACTCCAAACTGAATCATCAGGTCCTCGAAAGCTACGATAAGATGATCAAGGACACGGCTTACAATCTCGAAATGCGCCTTAAACGCATTGACGAAAAACTGGCGCGCACCACCGCAAACGGGACGTTGGGCGTGGAGACGAGCATCGATTTGCATGATGAGAGAGACGTGACCAGACAATGTCTTCGCATTTGTGAAGACGCTAGGTCCTACCTCGAATCCTTACAAGACCGGCAAAATCCATGGCTAGAAGGGGCGACCTTGAGCACTGCCAATGTTGTGCGGAACCCATTCGAGGCGGAACTCATGACAAAGCAAACGCTAGATGAGAGCCGAGACAAGATCGCAGCGACGATACACCGCCTTCAAGAAAGTCTCGATTGTACAGCATCAAGAGACGGCTCCGAGCGCGACCAACAAAGACTGCGATTGCAGGAGGATATCGACATCTCCAAGCAGTGTTTGGAAGTGTGCAAAAAGGCATCCAACCAAATCTCTTCCCAGAAGATATACATTGCTGGGGAGGTCATTGCCGACGATAACACCGATCAAGTGGTGGTCACAACTCTTGCCGACCTTTTCGACGTTGGAAAGGTATTGGCTAAGAGTAGATCGGCACAGCTGGTCGGCTCGATGACGGATGATACGCTTCAGAAGTTGTCATCGGATCGGTATCGCAGCCGGTTTGGCGTCGTATCAGGCAACAGCCTTGCCGTCGAACCCCAAGACCCAAGAGGACAGTACGCCCACGCCGCACCCAATTAGGAAGGACAGACAACCAGCAAGTGTGGAATCAAGGCACGACAGACCATCCCCTAATGAGGTAAGGAAACGGGCTGCTGAAGGTGGAGGTGGCGCATGACAGATGATTGTCGCACGTACGGTCCTTTTCGTGTTTCATTTTCAGGGGGTTCCAGTATATCGTGTTGTATCTGCAGGGCCTATAGTTAACCATATGGAAACTGCCTCGTCAGCCACGCTCCCTGTAGCAAGCGGCTTGCTCATTTGGCGTCCACCGAGCGCTTGCCTGCCAAGGCAGGGAAGGCATTGGACCAGATGTATATGACGGTGCTGGAGTCCTCTCTAACCGCTGATCTCGACCCGAGGAGATTGCTTTGGACGGCAAAAGGGACATTCTTATTTACGTCCGACCTGAGAACGCCGCCGACTCGGGTTCCTGGTCGTCTAAGGCTACACATATCTTGGTGGAGGCAACTGGACATAACTCCCAGACAGCATTCGAATAGGTGTCGGTGTGCCTCCTTGGCGTTGATGTAAAACGTCGTGTTGGAACATCTTTGTGAATCTAGAAGAAATTCGCGGAAGGAGGGGTGAAGAAGCCGGATCAGCCTGTCCTCTTCTTCCGGGACATCGAGGAGTGAGTAAAGGCTGTCAGCGGCGATGCGATCGTCTCCTTGGACTGGTCGAGTAGGCATAGCAAAGCTAGCAGGCGAAAGAGCGTCGAAGAGTGCGACACTCACGAGCACCATGGTATCGCGGAGGTTTTTTCCCCTGGGCACCCCTCGCCTTGTTCTCCTGTCTTTCACACCGTGACTGCTATATATACTCAAGTACAATATCCTCCATCACTGGTCTGCTTTTCAACCAGTCTTCCAGATTCATTCCTGCGACGCCTATCCTTGAGCCGCGCCCCCGTCCTTGCTCTTATCGACTAGCATGACGTGCAGGTCCTCAAACATGAAGCCAGAATATGCCTTTGGGACTCGTTTCACCAAGGCATCCACTTCGTCTTTCACCTCCGGATCCCCCCCTCGATATACCGCTCCAGCGTCGAAACGGTCCAATGCCGAGGCTGATTGACGGCAGAGACCAGGACAAGCTCGAAGAACCGTTCTTCGACGACGTAGCGGCAATGGGTCCATCCGGGTACATCTCATCAGCCATCTCGCGGGCCGTCGAGGGGCGCGCGATGCCGTTATCTCCGGTGCCAACAGCTCCTTAGGCAAGTTGGACGGCCTTGCGGACAGCCCAGTCCAGCGAGGCATTGATCCTGGACGACTCAGCGTCCCCGCCGCGGTGTCTAATATCGAGACTTATTTCCTGTGTGACACTACAAGGGAGGCCAACGCGCCGGAATTAAGGCCCCAGACGTCGCAACAGGCACGATTTGCGGAAAGGCACGAGCCGTAAAGCTTCGACGTGCCGGACACCCAGCAACCGAGCCCGCGCTCGAGGCAATAGGAACACTTAGGCATCAGGATGCCGAGAGAAGCCGAAGTGTCGACGACACGACGGCGGCGCTGAGTGCTGGAGCCGCTACGCTTCTTCTGCACATGGTCAGCCATGTTGGGCAACAGCGCGAGTGTGGAAGGGAAAGCAACGCACCAAGGTGTAGATGGCCTGTGGCGCTTGGGTGTGTCTTCCTGCCGTGCCTTTTACCGTAAACCCTTCCCAAAGAAAACCATCGCTCCGCTAAAGCCATCCGACCGCCCCCGCGAAAGCCACTTTCAACGCGCATTGCACCACGAAACGCGCATCGCAAGGACCATACAAACCCGGCCCGTTTTCCTTCAAGTCACCTTGCATTGCCATCACCCGATCCCACCTGCCACGAGTCCCGATGGCAGCACCTCTGGCCAACGTAAGTGTACATTACACATCTCCTCTGGTAACGCTAACACCGGTCCTCTCCAGATGGACCGCGAGAGATTCGAGCATATCGAGGACAAGGCATCGCAGCAGCTCAGCTTCGACAACCCGACGCATACATCGCTCGTCGGCACCGGCGGTGACTATGTTTGACGGCATCAGCACGCTGCCCAGCAAGGTCGCTATATATGAAGAATACAGCCTGCGAGACGACGAGGAGAGGCGGGTGTGGATTGACCGCCTGATTGCCGCTATCGAAGCCTACCTCACGAGCGTCGGCGATCGTGTCGACATCCCGTTTTACGACGATCTGATCTTTGGTGACACAGACGGCGCTCAGTCTAGCACGCTCCGCGTTGCGTGGGCCGGGGCGTTTGCGGCGCCGCTGGGAAGCACACGTCGCTGTTCGGCTGCTTATAGATCACGCTAAACACGCTAGGGGCTGGGGGGCGGCCTGTCGCCTGCAGCCAGTAACATTTGTCGGCTAGAGTGCGTGACCCCACTTTGGGCATCCCCCCACCTTTGGCAGCCAATTTGCAACACCGGCGCACACAAACGAAGTGACTACAATCCAAAGAACAACATTAAAAAAGCCAGATTTATATAGAAAATTGACGGGCGGCTATGTTGGAGGCTTGTCCAATTCCTCTAGAACAGTGGCAGCCGATGCGGAGTTGATTTTCCGCACTTTTTTTTTATGTGACTGCAGCAACGGCCCACGGGCAAAGGCAACGGCCTCCTGGGCCCCCTTAATGCGCTCTATCGAATAGAAAGCGTCCTGTGCGGTCCTTTTGACTACGGCGAGGAGCCGGCTTGAGGGAGGCCACCTCCTCTTTTAAACG